GGCTACTCCGATTGCTGGTTTTCATTGTAGTGTTTTAAGTTCAGTTGTTGTTTTGGAGCCAGTATTATCGCCTAATTCAGTTGGTGATGACAAAGAATGTATTCTCCCACCACCGGTTTTAGTGAGTGCTGATATGGAGTGTGATTTCCAATCGAACTCAGTTAGTAAAGACAAAGATTGTAAGTTTTCTCCACCGGTTTCAGTGAGTGCTAATATGGAGTGTGATTTCCATTCGGACTCGGTTAGTAACGGCAAGGGTTGTAAGTTTTCAACACCTTTTTGTCAGAAGACTCTTGTATGCATAAGTTTGTTTCTCGACATGGCTCGAGTTCATCCCTTCGGCTTTCTTCCTCAAATTTGCAGCAGGTTATGCAAGGCAAGGTTATTCAATTCTATCATTCTAAGTATATGTCGTTAATGTCAGTTCGGGTTTGTCCGAGTAAAACTTCTATCCAGACAAAGGTTCCCCAAGTAGTAACTTCTATGGAAGCAGAGACCTCTATTTCTACTTCAGTTAAGTTCCCTTGTGGATTGGAGCGACAAGCGGTGTCAACTTCAGAGTTCTAGTCGGCTCCCATTTCCCAGTCCATGTATACTCCGATTTTGTAGTCTTAATTCAGAGGAGGCGATCACCTCTATTACGATGGAGGTTTCCCACAATGTGAAGCCAAGTGTAGAAGGGTCCTCTACCTTTACTTCACTAAATGTGTCATGTGATGAGGAGCGGTAGACAATGCCTATAAAAGAGGCTCAGCTGATTCCCATTTTGCAATAGCCCTTAGGTGCTCCAGTGGCGCACAACAGTTCGGATTGCATGATTGCCGGCCTTTCTGATGTTGATTGTCTTATGGGAGGGATGAATTCACAGGGGTTTGTGGGAAAAGTTTGTGATTTCAATTTTCAGTTGTCCACTTTGCATTCTAGTTCCAAGTCTTCAGGCCATCTAATTCGCCATCACAAGTCTGTTTTTCATCCTCGATTTAGAAAAATGAGTTCTTTGGTGGATCGACTAGTTCAGTTGCAGGTTGCCAGGTGATTCGTGTGGGTGCAAAGCGTGATCGCGGGCCTAAAGTTTGCTCGAATAAAACTCCAACTTGACTCGAATAAAGTTTGCTCGCAAGTGTCTCTTTGGTGTTGTTGTGTAGTGTAGTTGGTTGTCTTTAGTCATCGGAAAACAACCAATTGTGTTAGATTGATCTTGATTTTTTTTTTTTTTGGGATTTATTTATGTCATAAAAAGTGTTTTGTATTCAACGATGTTTTGTTTATAAATAATGATGTTTTACATGTTTTATATGTTACATTTATCTAATCTTTTCTTAATGCACAAATTCCACCGGAAAACAACCATTTGTGTTAGACTGATCTTGATTTTTGTTTTTTGGGATTTATTTTATGTAATAAAAAGTGTTTTGTATTCAATGATGTTTTGTTTATAAATACTGACGTTTTACATGTTTATATACTACGCTTAAAAAATTCTCCGTATTTAAATATATAAGGGTTGTACTATGTAGTGGTAAATATATGGTTGTATTCTGATGAAATTGAAAAATTATAATTGTATTCTAATTAAATTAAAATTTTCAGGTTAGATGTGGCCGGAAAATGTCATATAGTACTACGTATGCGTTGATTGCACATACTACAAAAGATATTATGGGTTTATGGGTTAAATTTGAAACAGTTAATAATAAGGGGGTTAATTTGCACATGGGACTTAAATCTTGGGGCTTATTTGCACACTTAGTTAGTTCAACAAAAATCATTAATTTTTCTAATGAGTGCCTATGCACACATGTTAAATTAACTGTTCTCCTTCAGGGTTTTTCTTTTCTTTTTTTAATTTTTATTATCCGCAATTTTCTATATGACAAAAAATTGTCACATGTGATGTTTTTAAAGTGTTTTTGAATAGACTTATTATGAATTTTTTCATACTGAAAATAATAACTATAATTGGTCAAGTTTTTGCACGGCAAACTTGAAAAGTGAATGGGTAAAAAAGAAGCAGAGGAAGCATTTTATGTCTAAGAATTTAATGTAATAATTAAGTAAATAATTTTTTATACTTAGCAAATTTTATAAGTAAAAAAATTAAATAGGTTATCCTTTAGGTTGGTTAGTCTCCTACATTAATTCTTTATTCATTATTAAGGATGTTAATGGGGCGAGGCGGGGTAGATGTTGGCCTTCTTATTCCCTGTCCAACTTAATATTTTCATCCACATCCCCATTTCTATCCCAACGGCGGGCCCAAAACTAATTGTCATCCCCGCCCTGGCGGGTTCCAAAACCATTCCCATCTTACTCGACACTTGAATATCCGCACCCACCTAATCTTCACCCAAAACCTGCATAATCCCCACCTCCAAATAACAACAATAATGCATAATATAATTTTCATTTAAAAAAAATACATAATAAGTTAATATTACGCAGTTTTTTTTTCTTTATTGTAAGACTATAAGTCTATCACAAAGTATTACTTCTTATATTTTTTTACTATTTTATTTGATTTAATATATATTTTAAAAAGTATAAAAGTATATATATATTTTTCAATATGGATGTGCGAGTATGGGGTGGTACTAAATGGGGCGGGTACTAATCTAAAATCCACCCCCGCCCACCACCCATAGAGGGTATGGTACCTCATCCCCATCCCACCACCCGCCAAATCGAGACCATACTACTTGACCCGCCCCATTAACACCCCTATTCATTATATGGTTTTTCTTTAATTATGACTGCTAACTAGAATAAAAATTATTACTCATTATACAACGCTTTTTGGTGTAGCCAACTACATCATATGACAAGCTGACATTGATGCGTATTTTTATGGGCTCCACTAAAATTTCAACCTTAGATGGATTGTAGTTTTAGACTTTGCACAATTTTGGGATAAAGGGACTAAATCTAAAGGATATGGAACAATTAAATCTAAGCAAGATCAAATTGTAACTAGGATATGGAGCTATTTAATCTAACCAAGACTAAATAACAACTAAATTGGTAGCTTTCTCAGCAAAATATCATATGCAATTCTCTTGCTAAAACAATTCATACGAATTGATCAATTATAACTCAAAACTTCTCTCCCTTCATTAATGAAAATAAAGAATATTTATAGGCAAACATCCCATGCCGTTAGGATAACTAAAAGATAAAATAAAATATATAAGGTATAAATACTAAATACTAATCCTAAATAACAAAATTTATCTTCTAATAATATTAGAAAATAATATCTTATCAAACTACTAATTCTACTCCAACTCTTATTCGATTAATCACGCGTAACTTTAGGATTGACACTACTCAACCTCATGATTAATAGACGACTCAATAAAAATAAATAAAAATAATAAAATGATGATACTGATGCTTTGGATACGCATCAGACACCCACCAAAATACTGATCGAGTAATCCCTCACTAACCAAGTAACCCCGGCCACACAACCCCTGACCGATCGAGTAACCCTGATCACACCGTGTAACCGGCCACATATGAAATTTTGTGATTTTTATAACATAATAACGACTTTATATTTCTAGTTAGAAATTAAGAATTATATATGGACACAAAAATTATTATAACCCATTTTAGAAAAATAAAAATCCTTCAAATACGGGAAAAAAAAAAATAGAAGGAAAATTTGTCAAAAAAAATCTTTTAAAAGAACCATTTTCTAAATAAAAAAAAATTAAAAAAAAAAAAAAAACCACCATCTGCAACCCCCACGGCCATCACTCCTCACCTGACCCCCTAAGACTGACCACCCAGCCACCCCGAACCCCCCAAAAAACCGACATCCCAAAACCCAGCCACCTCGAAATCCCCAAAAATCGAACACCCCAAAACCCCTTTTCCCCTTATCCCCGCCGGCGACCATCACCGCCATCTCCTCCTCGCTTTCTCCTTAGCTCAAGTCTTCTTTCTTTCTCCTTCCTCAACTATTCCATCATCTTCCTGCACTTTTCCATCCTTTCTTTCTTCTTCCTCACACCAAAATCCAAATCCCAAATTTCAATCGAATTCATTATCTCTCCTCAATTTACCTCAATCACTCACCCAGAAATTTCCTCATCAATTTACAATCCTTTAATCCCATCAATTAATTCAACAATCATGTATCAAAACATAAGTGATACCATCACCAATTCATTCTACCCCCCCCCCCCCATCAATTTCATAAACCTCCTTTTCAAAACCTTAACCCTAACCCAAATCCCAATCTAATTGTTGATCCTTACACCAATCCATTGCCTCAATCTTCCGCTTCAACTCCTCCTCTTTCTTCTTCCTACGCCCCACCATTTGCTCTTACTTGTTTGCTTCGAAGGGAGGTGGTGGTCGCCGGTGGGGATATGGGGGAAAGGAAGGGTCGGCCGGTGATGGCGATAGATCACTAGGGGTGGGGGATCTGGGCGGCGGGTCTGATTTGAGGAGGGAGTGGTTAGCTGGTGATTTGGGGGGTGATGGTTTTTTTTTCTCAATAATTAAAATTTAATTATTAAATAATTAGGTGGGTTAGAGGGTAGTCAGAAGAAATGGGAGGAAATTAGAGAGTAATTAAGTAAATTAGAGGGTAATCAAGTAAACAAGTTTCCTCTTGCAAAAAAAAAATGAACGTGGTGGTTTTTCTTAACCAAAAAGTTTTTAAAAGATTTTTTTCGCAAAATGATGCTTTTAAAAAAGGGATTCCCTGTTGATCTTTGTGATAAACAAAAAACGTTTATCTAGTGCTATTTCTATAAATAAATCAACATAAAATCTCAGTCAACATAACATTTTCGTAGATAAATCCACATTAGTGGGCCCACATTTAATAAAAAGTTGTTGATTTATTTACAAAAATGTCACTAGATAAACGATTATTTTATTTATCATGAAGATAAACTTGTATTTTCTCCTTTTAAAAGATTTTTTCTAACAAATTTTCCTAAATAAAAATATGAGGTCTGTAGAATTTTTTAGGAAAAATATACTTTAATAATCCCAACTGTAGGTGATTTAATTTTAATTATCCCAACTAAGGTTTATGATCTAATAATCCTAACTATGCTATTAGTTTGCCTCCAATGGTCCCAATGACCGATAACCTGTTGAAAGTGTTTTTATTTTTTTTTTTTTTTTTATTTTTTATTTTAATAGCCACGTGTCAACACATGATAGATCCAAAATAAAAATAAAAAATTAATAAAAACAATAAAAAAAAATCCCAAAAATTCGAGCACCTTGCCAGAACTCGGCCGACCACCCCCCTTAACCACCTAAACTTGCCGGTTGACCCCCTTTAACCCACCCCCAAAACCACCTCCTAGCCAAGCCCGACCCCAAAAACTCGAATTGTTCAAGCTTTGTATTTGAGGCTCCGATGACGATAATGTCACCGACCTGCCTGGGACTTTGCCGCCTACTTCAAAGCCATCGCCAAAGAACACGCCCGCCGTTACACCACCTCCTTCGACTAAAAAGTCGTTGCGAAGGTGTGACTGCAGGTGGTTATTTAGGGGTCGAGGTTGGCTGGGCAGGTGATTTTTGGGGTCGGGGTTGGTTGGGCACGTGGTTTTGGGGGCGGGGTTGGCTGGCCGGTTGGTTACGGTGGCTAAAAGGGGGTGGTCGACCGGGCCGGCGAGGTTAGGGGGTGGGGGGTTAGCGTTTCACGGCTGGGGAAAAGGTGACTGGGATTTTTTGTTTTTTTTTACAAAAATTTTAATTTTTTTTTTTTTAATTTTGGACCAATCACGTGTTGGCACGTGTCATGGTTACCTGTTATAATAGGTCGTTGACTTGGTGTTGATCGGTTGGGACCATTGGAGGCAAACACATAGCATAGTTGGGATTATTAGATAATAAACCTTAATTGAGCTTATTAGAAGTAAATCGCCCATAATTGGGATTATTAAAGTTTATTTATTTTTTACGACAAATGGTCAACATTGTTATGAAGTTCATGGACTTTGGCCAACTTGATGAGCAACGAAGTCCGCAATGAAGAAGTGATTCAAACTCTTTCTCCGCTCACATGGAATTTACACAAATTACTTCCCATTTTTCAATGTCGCCGTTGTTGGTGGTGGGTTGTTTCTCATGTCCACCATTAACGTGTTTGTTACTTCTCCACTTCCCTTCTTTTCCGTTAATTATTCTCTTAATATTAATCAAAACTTGCCCTTTTCATATTATCAATGCTTTCTTCAATCATCTCCACTATGAATTTCTCTCTCTTCTTCTCATCTTTAAGCTTCAATAAGGTAAAAAATTTAAACTTTATACGGCCCGATTGGTAAGCGGTCATAATAAGTACCTAGGAATGATAATGAATTTACATATTCTGTATTTTTAAATATAATTTCTGCAGTAATATATTATTTTGATTCTGGGTATTTGGTTGCATTTGTAGGCACTGAAATTGGGGGTATGGTCAATTTGGTTATCTGGGTTTACATTAATTTGCTTCTCATTTTATGCAACTCAGTTCTTACCTACTGTCAAAGTTGAATTCAGAAAATCCAGTTTTTTGTACCCAAGAAATTCAGCTGATATGAGTGATCCCACTATAACCCTTTTTAGTGCTCCAAGCCCGTTTAATGGCTCTGTAGGAAAAAGGCAGGGTCTTGCTGTTCGATCATGGCTAGGATTATCTCCTAACATCAATGTTGTTTTATTTGGCAATGACCCATCTGTTCAATCCTTTGCTTCTGCCTTTGGCTCTCGAGTTTATGTCGAATCCGACATCGATTTCTCGTAAGTGTCCATGATTCTTGTCTTTTTATCTTTGTCAAACCTTATAATTTGTGATAAAATTCTTAGAAGCATGAGATATTTATGTGATCATGTCACATTATTTTTTTATTTCAATGATGATAGTTGCTTCCATACTTGGCCTTGTAAATTTTATTGAGTGTTATAGGGTTGAATTGCTGTAATCAGGAGTTACATAGCTAGAATCCTTCTCAAATTAATTAATTGTTTTGGCCTTTTGGATGTGTGTAAAATATATATGTTGGCACTTGATGTTGCTACTTGATGCCCTTTTCTTTTTCATAATTTCCTATTGATCCTTGCTGTTTTGAATATCAAAATCTTAGGTTGTTCAGACGCCGATTCCTTTTTTATAAGCAGTAGATATCTTATCATGAATTCTTGTAAGATTTTATTTTCTACATTATTCTTGGATGGAAATGTGCAAAAATTGTTCTGAAGTTATACATGCATAAGTTGTGTGAATGTGATTGTTTTTGTTGCCTACTAGAGCTTCTGTTCTGTGTATAATTTAACCTTAACAAACGATTTTTATAGTTTAATATTGATTTCCAGTGAGAATTGTATAATTTGAGAAACAAATTTGGCCTTGCTAATGCAGCCAAACATAAACAAGCTCAAAAAAGTTTGTGTGTTCTTTTATGTAGATTCCTAAATGTTCCATTCTTCCATTCCATGGTTGGTAGAGCTGAGGCATCCTCTTCAGATATATCTGTTCTTATTCATCCTGAAACCATCCTCCTTCAAGACTTTCTTTCCACTGTAAATCATGTTTATGAGCTTGATCATGATTGGTTCCTTATTGCCTCCTCAAAAAGAAGTTATTTCTTCCCGTTCTCTTTGGATAATGTTGGAAGGCAATGGCTAAGAGAGGATGGTATACCCATTTCATTGCAGAAGGTATCAAAGAACCTTGTACAAATTCAATGTGGATGGGTCTATTAGACAAATTGATTGAAATTTTGCTCTATTCCATCAGTTGCAGGAGGTTCTTGCTCAGACATGGCAATGGGATTATTGCAGAGGGAGGATGCTTATGGCTTGGAATAACAAGGATCTGCCTTTACATATGGGCGTTCTCCCTCCCTTCTTATATGGGAAAGGAGTACATAATCATTGGTTCGTTAATGAAATATATCATTCCAACTATAGGTTTGTGTTTGATGCAAGTTGGACTATCTCTAATTTTCACGTGCAGGATTCAGATGATCATGAACCTATTCAATCTAATAGAGAGTCCACTTTTGTTGATCATACAAAGACAAACTGGGAGTACAGTGGTAATCTTCAACTTGCAGAATTGTATGGCCTATTATCTTCTAATCAAGCTAATTTCTCTGATTTCGCAAAGCTTGTAAAGTGTGATGGAAAATTTATGTTTACCAACAAAGACCAGAATATTGTTTATTCACCTAAACTTTACGGCTCAAATAGCTTGTGGAAGGGGCAAATCCTGCAGTCTACGATGCAAAAGAAACTAAACGCTTGTCTTGCTGGATTTAGCTCCTCTGCTAGGATTATGAATTGCTCTGTTGAGAGCAAGATGAGTGGTCCTGTACCCCTACATCTTCCATATGGCTTAGAAATTCTCCTGTCTAATTTAGCTGATGAAAACAAGACCGTGGTGCTTGCTGTTGCTGGATACAGCTACAAGGACATGTTAATGAATTGGGTTTGCAGATTGCGGCATTTAATGATTAATAATCTTCTTGTCTGCGCCCTTGATGATGAAACATACGAGTTCTCTATCCAACAGGTAACAGATATTCTCCTTTGGCACTCAGCTAGAGTGTTTGCATTTCTTATTTCTACTTTAAAAACCTAGGAGTCCCATATTATGATGCTTTCCCATTGTCTTAAAATGATTTTGTCATTTTCTTTACAGGGCATCCCTGTTTTCAGGGACTCGTTAGCACCAAGAAATATCAGTTTCAATGACTGTCACTTTGGGACTAAGTGCTTTCAAAAGGTCACCAAGACAAAATCCAGATTAGTTTTGCAGGTTTTGAAGCTGGGATATAATGTAATTTTAAGTGATGTTGATGTTTACTGGTTCAAAAATCCAATTCCATTACTACAGACTTTTGGTCCTGCTGTATTTGTTGCACAATCTGATGAATACAAAGTATCAGGTAATCTTAGTCCCAATGCATGATAATTTTTTATTTTCTTTTTTTTTTTGTACATCTGACTTTTGGCGTACACAGCATGTATACAAGTGCTGAAAAAACTCTCTTCAAAAGAGCAAGAACTATTTACATTAGCAGATAGAAGATTAGATTTGTAGATAGCAGATAATAGATACTAAATTTTACTAGTAGACTGTAGATCATGAATTCTGTAGTATTTTGCCTTTTGGAAGTATACTTGTGTAGTATGACATATAACTACACAAGGATATGGGTACAATTTGCTTTACATTGTAGCATAAGGTAAATATATAATATTCTAAGGGGCGCCAAAAAGTGCTTATGGGTATTTACAATTTTAAATCAGATATCCTCTTCAATATGCTCCCGTTGTTTGCTTATCGGAAAAGTGTAGATTCACTTGAATCCACTTTTTGAACACCACCTTATAGTTAAGTGACTAACCAGGATTTAATACACTCTTTTTGGCCCAATATACTTTTTACCAAATACCCCCATTATATGTGTCAAACAAATAAAAGAAAATAAGACTTTACAAATTCTTGCAAAATTCATGTCTGACATGATTTATGTCAAACTCAAACTCAATCTTATTCTGATCTCAATTTCATCTTCTAGTGCCTATTAACTTACCAAGACGCTTGAACTCTGGATTCTATTTTGTTCGGTCTGATGATCCTACCATTGCTGCCATGGAGAAAGTGGTGATGCACGCTATGACTTCAGACCTATCCGAGCAGCCAAGTTTTTATGACACTCTATGTGGTCTAGATGGCGCAAATCGTGTTGGAGATAATAGATGCTGGGAACCCAGAACAAATCTTACTGTTCAATTTCTGGACAGGAACCTCTTCCCTAATGGTGCTTACCAAGGCTTGTGGGAGGAAAGAAATGTTCGAGCAGCTTGTGTAAAAAAGGGATGTTACGTTCTTCATAATAATTGGATTAGTGGTAGGACAAAGAAGCTAAAACGTCAGGTACATTCAGGTCTATGGGACTATGACATCAGCTCAAGGATGTGTTTGCATAGCTGGCAAAGAAGGAAGGTGCTAAAATAGCTGTAGGAATTCAAACCTCTTGACCTTGATTTTAAATAAGCTGAACAGCTGATTAACAATGTGCAGTTCTGTTTGTTCCCAAACTGGGTCTTGGTGTGGCCTTGCTTTGGCAGAAAGAACACAAGGTCAGTAGAATCTCACTCCAAAATGGATATAAAAGAGATACATTAGTGCATTTGCTGGATTCTATGCATGCTGACCATATTTCCCTAAAGATGTGCTTTTTTTTTTTTTTTTTTTTTTTTTTTTTTGCTGACATGCTGAAGAGCTGCTTTAGTTTCTGGGACTAGTATAATACATCTTTGGAAATGAAAATAAAAAAGTAAGATGTTGAATGTCTGCATGATCTAAAACCTATCAGGAGCTTCTTCCAGGAAAATAGTATCAAAAGGTGTTCTTCCAAGACCATTTTTGTTTAAGATTTTGATCAGTGTGGAGAATAAGGAAAGGATGATGATTCTTTTTTCATGTCTCTGATTAGAGGGTGCTTCCTAGGCTGTCTGACTCGAGTGACATCTATAGGTCATCCAAGATTTTATGGTATGTTATCCCTCTATTACCTTTGAAATCAATGTCTGTCCACAAATCTAAAGTGCTTATTTTTATGTAACTAAGATTCTTGGCTTTGCACATATGCTTTAAGTTGGCAGAACTCTGTGATATAGATGTATGCTTATGTGTTGTATTCAAACAGTATAATCTATGTTGTTCTCTGCAAATACTTGGGAATTTATTGGTTGCATACATAGTGATTGTTTAATTACAGATACCGTAAGAAACATGATTCAAATCATGAATTATCTTATATTCTACAAAGCTACCAGTGGCCTCTTATAAATCCATTGAATTCTTGGAGCCATAGCTTTAATTGGTTAACTTAGACGCAAATAAACTGTGTAAACCCGTCCTGTTGTGTCCATTGTCACGGTTTCATGTCTGAAGACTTGATTGAAGCCAGTTTATAACTTCTGATCTTAGGAAACTTAGTTTGAATCCAGTACTTGGTGCTTAGACAAGACTTAAGTCGCTTAGAAACTTCAGGCTGGATTTGTGGATTACATTGTTTTTAACTTCCCATATAATTGACATATATAGTTTCCTTGATCTTTATTTATATCAACAAAACCTTAAACAAAATCAGAAAATGACAATTTCTTTACCATTATGATTGAATATGTCACAATTATTGCTGCCCTTTAGCCTTATGCCTGCCCAAATTTTCTTACAGATTCAGTGTTCTGACCCTGAAAGTATTAGTCTAGATGAATGTGTACTTTTGTCTTCTCAACAAACTTATACCATTCTCATTCTATAGAATTACAGGGGTAAAGATTTAGAACTACTGTAATTTACATCTCATATATGATAAACATATATATAAGAGATTGTGGTCATAAATAAAAGAAATGCTGAAGTAATGTACTTCCGATCTCCGATAAGAAATAACCAGTCGGAGAAACATTCTGTTCTCACATACAAAATCAAAACTCTTTCGATTTTAATTTGATGTACCAATGTTCTAAGTTATAGTTGAATCATGTTCATAACACAAACGATAAACCCTTGGTCAAGATTGCTGTGTATAAAACTGCTAGCATTCCACCAACAGGAATTGTCACTGCCCAAGAAGTGACTATCTCCTTTACTGTCTCTGCTCTGACACTATTTAGCCCTCGGGCAAACCCTACTCCCATTACAGCACCCACTAATGTATGAGTTGCTGAGATAGGTAACCCTAGCTTTGATGCAAAGAGAACTACCGATGCAGCTGCAAACTCTGCGGCAAACCCTCTTGTTGGTGTGAGTTCAGTGATCTTCTTTCCAATGGTTGATATCACTCTGTATCCCCACATCGTAAGACCTGCTACAATCCCAAACCCTCCCCATGCAAGAACATCTGTTGGGATATGAATCGCAGCTCCTGCACTAGCCCCTCCTTGCAGTAGAGATAATGCTGCTGCTAAAGGACCAATAGCATTAGAGACATCATTTCCACCATGAGCAAATGACATGAAGCACGCTGAGAGGACCTGCATATATCCAAACACACCATACACTATCTCCAGTTGGGTTCCTTTAGGGCCGGCAATATCAGAAAGCAGCCCAATGTTCTTCTGCTCTTGATGATCAGGATGGTGGTCATCTTTGTGTTGGGTTGTCATTGATGAGTTGGATTTGGCAAGTAGGTGGCCTAACTGTATGTTGATCACTCGATAAACGATAACTGCTCCAACTGCTCCACAAGCCAATGCCTGGACTATAGCCAGTGGAAGGGTCTTGCTAAGAGGGAAGGCAGCAAATGATATTGCAGTTACACCCATGAATACTGCTATTGGTGCAGATGCAGCAGCAGCCTGTCCTGGATTCTCAGCACTGTAAACAAACTAGAAAAGGGATGCCAGTTAGATCTTCTGAATTCTGTATCAATTGAAGTTTCTAAATCAAGTAACAATTTCATGACCTTTTTTTTTACTTGATCTCATAAGCTATAGGCAAAATTCCCAAAAAGATAATCATGAATAAAGTGAAACTCATATCTAGAAATCATCAGCTGAAGTGTCATGAAACAAATACATACCCTGCGGATACATTTGTACACGAGAAATGACATGGCTGCACCTAGTACGGGTGAAAAAATCCATGAAGAAGCAACCTTTGCCAGTGAGCTCCAGAAGACTGCATTAGCTCCTCCATAGACAAGGCCAAACCCAACCATGGATCCTACTATGCAATGAGTAGTTGAAACTGGCCAGCCATAATAGGAGGCCACCTGTGAAGCACATTATAGATTGTCAATCCTGAGCACATATGCTGCATGTCTGCATTATGCTAGTCTCATGTTCATTTCTTACTTTTGTGTTCTAGAGGATTGCATGTTGCATCCAGTGGTTTAAGGGTAACCTTAAACGCAACTGCGTAAGGCTTGTCGGCTGTAGGGGCACTGACATGTTTACTCTCTCTGCCATGGCCCGTCTGAAGTATTCCGTGTGAACTAAATTTTTAAACAGTTTCTCTGCTTCACTGCTTGTATATTACAATATGATGCTTATTATAGTTTTCAAAACTTCATGAAAATACAGTTCGCACAGCTCAGGTATTGAAAATACTATTCGTTGTTCTAATAATAGAAATAATCTTGAATTTGATTATTTGAAGTTCTATGCATTCTTCAAGTTCTATCTTTTTGCTGTTTTTGTTTAAATTATTTGCATTTTTGACCTTGAGACCTTTAAAGAAGAGGCCACATTCAGAATTTTACCAGAAATTGAATACACATTAATACAATACTTCGTTCCTGTGTAATATGATTTGTACCTTTTCTATGTTTTACAAATTCGAGCAGAAAATCATAATTATATTCTTGTTACTTGCTTCTATTTCGGATTCATATATTGCTATTATATGATAAACTATACTGATGAACCAGAGCAGGAACCTCGGAAATTTACCTGTAACCAAGTCCCAGCAGCTGCAAGGGAAGAAAGAAGTCCTGCAAACAGCAAAGTGTCCTTCCCCTGAAACACATTAGCAACAAGAATCCCCTTCTGCATTGTACTTGTAACATGTGTACCCATCAAGAGCGCCCCAGAAAACTCCAAAACAGCAGCCGTCACAACAGCCTGTCGTATCGTCAGAGCACCCGAGCCAACAGATGTCCCCATTGCATTGGCAACATCATTCGCGCCAATGTTCCAGGCCATGTAGAACCCACAAAGCAAGGTCATATATGAAAGCACCTTAGTCTTAAGCGGCATCCCTTGACCAAGGGACTGCATAAACAAGGGGAAAATCAGAGCAGCACATGCTATGCATACTGATATAGCAACAGCTGTTCTGGATGATATGTGAAAAGCCTTAGCCATTCCAGATAACTCATCCATTTTCGCCGCCTCTTCATCATCAGCCTTAATCTGTTGATGATTGGCAATAACTTCTTCATGTTCTTGGCCCCCTGCATCAGCAAAGGAAGACAGAGAAGCAAGAGGGTAGTTAAATCTTGAAGTCCTTAACCTCAATATTGAATGAGAACCTGATTTGAGTGGTGGTAGTTGAAGCTTAAAAAGAAGGCAATCTCTATTGTCTTTGTTTAAGTAATTATAGTGATGCTTAGGAAGGTAGGAAGCAGTAGCAGCAGCCGTGTTTCGGGTTGCAGATAAGAGGCAGGAGGAAGTCATGGCTGATCAACCCGAAGAGAGAGATAGCGCGAGAGGAATGAAAATGGTTGGTAGAAGTGAATGAGAAGAAATGAGAATCTAGAACAAAACTATTCAGTTGAGCTCTTAGCCAAGGAATCTGAAGGTGATTGTGAGATGAGAGAGAAAGTGGGCATCAAAGCAAATTGGAATTAAAGTCATGTTTGGTGGATAATGGTGAGTATGAATTTGGATGTTTGTTGTGTTTGCTTGAAATGAGTGGTGTGTGTTTATGTGTGTTTCTTTAGACTTCCAATATCATAACCACACAACCTTTCTTCTGTCAAAAAAATAAAAAAGGTCTCTATTATCAGATTCTTAACAAATTAGAGCTCTTATCTATCTATTGATGAACAAGTATTTACATGTTTTTATCATTTTATGAAGACTGTTTGTCTTCAAACTGTCAAAGTACCTTATTTTGATCTAACATCTGTAGTGATTTGATGGAATTAATGGTGAATCTGAAAAATGAAGTAATCTAGAATTGTGTAGTTCACCTAATGATTTTATTTTTTGGGATTTGGGTAGGGTGATTAAAAAAAAAAAAAAAATCACTCCTGCTTATTCTCCTCGCTTTATTTTAAAAACTTATTTTTATTTTAACTAGAGTGGGTAACACGCACGATGCGCGTCATAGCTAGTAATATTCGGGGAGCTTTTTCAGTATTTTGGTTACATTAATGAAGAAAAACATGTAAACAAATATTTTAGGGGTATAAATATTCGCACACTATTCTAAATAGTACAATTAACATTAATAAATGCAAAATAAAAACATGTATTGTACATATTAATGAGAGTAAACATGTAAATGGACATTTTAAAGAGTATAATTGGCAATATAATATTCATAAGGATAATCTTGTACTTGGTAAGAAATGTTGGTCTGATTGACTTGACTTGAAAGATTAAAAAATTGAATTAGACCAAAACTTATTTTGGTTTTCGCATTACTCGTACTTAATACTAATAAGATGAAATATTTAGAATATTAAAAGTATATTAATAAAAATTGAATATTTGGAACACACGACAAATTTAATGAGATTTATTCTGATGATGTTTTTTCTTATACATAAGTGTAAGAACGATTAGAGTTTAGTTTTAGCATACCATCACGTTAGACCATAAATATTTTAGACCAAACCTTAATAAATTTAGACTAAAACACCTCATCTTTAATTGCTGAAAGACAATTTGTTACTTCCAACGATGTTGTATTCATTCACCTTGTTCATTTTACTATTTAACAAAAAAAAAAATTGTTCATTTTAAAATCAAGGATTTTTTTTTTTAACTTATAACACCACAAAAAAATGAAAAATGGAATATAACACCAAAAAAACAAAATTTTGATTTCACCACCACTTAACGGATTTCCGTTAATAGGGCCCACAACAGACACATGTTAATAATCTATTGGTTAAAAAAATTAAAAAAAAGAATAATTAAAAAAAAAAAAACCTAAACCCTAACCAGTAAAAAAAAAACCCCACAAGTACCGCAGTTGGAAGGTTTCAACCTTATGATGACCTCAAGGAAACAAAGGGAATCATCAACCAATTACACCAAACTTTGCTTAAACTTGATATATACTTCTTGTATTCCACAAATATTGCAACAAGGATGAAATTACACATCACAAAGCACTTTTTATATGCTAAATATGTATAATTATATAAAAGTAAAAATTATAAAAAGGTGATATTGTGAAAGTATTTTACGAGACGAATCTAACAAGACCCCACATTAGACATGATTATATTTTACTTTACGTATAAATCATAATATGTGGTCAAACAAGTCTGATTAATAGTGTAAAAGTCTTCTTATTACAATATTAATAAAACGGAGGAAGTAACTACATAGGGAGCATTTATTTGTCGATTGTCTTAACCAATGCTTTACCTTTCTGACTGTCTGTACAAGTTTATTGAAGATGATATTGGGCCGTCATTTTAGTTTGTTCAGGTATCTGGTCAAAATGGCCCATTTGATCCACCTATTCACCTTACCAAAGTATAAGGACCAATGCACCTTGGCAATTTGGGTCAGCAAAATGGACTTATAGCTAGTGGGTTCTCTCATTTGTAGGTAGTAACGCTTCGGCTATTGCTTCCACATAAAATGATAATTTCAGATTAATGCTTCACATAATGAGTTACTTTTTATCTTTCGAAATATCTATCATGTCCGAAATTGATTACTAGTCAATAAATAAATTTGATTAATATATACTTGTAACACACTCTTTTAACACGTTATTTGAGGAAGTGATTAGACTAGGTAAGTGGACAATTAAGTTATAAAATTTAACCGTTGTAACCTACCACTTTTTTCTTATTGGTGGTACACTTTTGTCAAGGTATGTAGTCGCTTATTAAAGAATAAAGAAAGATGATGAGCAATTTTCCATTCTCCCATTGATTCCTATGAAAATAGGAAACTTGTATTTCTCATTCACAAATCCATCTTTGTTTATGCTGCTAACTCTCAGTTTGGTCCTACTTCTGCTTCATTTTGGTCTGCATACCTAGTATATCCCCTAAAATGCGCGTAGATTTGATGTGTTGCAAGTAAATAAAAAATGAGGAAGTGTGTATAAGAACATACGATATATTACCTATGTTATTGCATATTGGGTAAATCTCTATCTCTAAATAAAGTGTAAAATTGCTTTTATGATTCAAAATTATCAAACCTTTTTATAATAACTTAAAATTTGCGAGCACTTTTTTCTGAACAAAAAAATCTATTAAAACCAAAAGTTGGATTGGTGGTGATGATGATTGATGAAGTTAAATAGAGTAGTTTTCATTGGAAATTAACCCTAGTCGAGTTAGAAAGTTTACACTGTAACTTTAGTATCAAAAATATGAAATGAAAGGCCAAGAAGTTTGACAAGCCAACTTTCAAAAGAAGCATTACTACCACAAATTTAGCATCGTGTTTTAGCAATACTTAATTATTCCTCTTATTGTAAAAATGCAAATATTTATCAAAAACTAGTAATTTTGCTACGTGGAGGTGTTGTGGATTCCATGATGCAAGAAGACATGCACAATTCTCTATTCTATGTTAATTGCAGTTATATTTTCCTAATTTAGAAGTTTTATTTTATATGTTACTTATCCATACTTTATTATTATCTTTTGTCGTATATATGTTTTTTTATCTATTTCCTATTTAATTTACATGGTAATTTTAATTTGGGCGTCTTTTGTCCATGTGCCATACCAAACTACACATAATCATACAAATTACGTAGTTTTACTCTTTATTCTTCATCTAAATTTCTTTTGAAAACCATACCCAAAAAAAAAAGTATTGCTCTTTAGGAGATCATAATTAATTATTGAGTGAATTTTATGAAGAGAGAAAAATGTACTCCGTACTAAAATAGATTACATAATTTGCTAGCTAAATTGTGCTAGATATAAAAGAAATTATAAAAATTAATTTGGGAAATGGGTGAACAAAGAGAGATAAGTCTAAACTGTATAAGATGGTCACAGTACTCTATTGCATGATCGGACGATAAATAAGAACAACTTTAAAGAACAAACCTATACCGTGAATGTACTACTGTATATTATACAGAGTTTAAAACATATTTAAATTATACATATAAGTCAACTTTAATTTGTAAAAAGGTAACTTTTAAAGTTTTATTTAAGCGATATTAAAGGACTAGTCCTCTTATATACACGTACAAAGCCTATATTGTTCATAATATTGATGTTGTTATGTACTAGTCTCAAATTATGCTGAATGGAATGATATTGTGAGATGTTAATCTTTAAACTACCATCATCGATCAGTAATACTTGTAGGTTGAGGTGATGGAGTAGTGGCATTGCTCCCACCTCATATTCCTGATGTCTAGGAATCAAATCTCATAAAACTCATTTGAGTGATTTCCCTTATCTGATTATCTCCCCCTTCAATTCAAATGAGCCCTTCTCTTCTTACCAAAAATAAATAAATAAATAAATACATTCATCATCAGTAATACTTGTTGTATATGACAGAGAATGATAATGAATAATTATATACTACAAATTTTGTGAGCAAAATGACATACTCCGTATTAAAGTCCCATGTCTATTTTGTATCATTATTTTATCTCACATATTAGTCTTATCTTGATCTACTCAACTTACAATATTTGTATAATTGTATTCCAAAGAACATTAAAACAAACCTAGGAAGAATGATTTTGGCTTAAAACAAATGATGATGCAAGTTGTCCCAAATAATTAAGGTCTGGAGCGCAAAATAGGACTTAAAAAAATAATAATGATGACATAAAATAGCAAATAAAGTGACATAAATTCTTTAATTTGATCTCCAATTATCAGGATAAGGAGATAAAGTTTTAGAGTGACCTAAGCAGCCAGGCAAACAGGAAAATGAATAAATTTAAGACACATATTATTGCTTTAAAAGGATTGTCAAATTAGCTTTCAAAAAGAGATTGATCATATAATATAAATAATTAAATAAATAAAAGAGACCCCACTTTAATGGAAAGCTTAGCTATTTACAGGGTATTTGATTTACTGCAAATTGCAAATGACATAATCCATGAAAAAGACCTAAGGATTTGTAGTTTTTGTTTTGTTTATTAGGTTTTTTTTTTTTGTTAAAAAGTATCTCACTTATCTTATCCTAAAGTGTAAATTAAGAGAGCAATAGAGGATAATTGGATATTGTGTACGTGATTGCTAAAGTCAAGCACGAAACTTGGGGGGAAAAGTCAAGGTTTGAACCTTGAATTATACGACATTACACTTCAATTCGTGTATGTTAAAACAATCTTTTGAGCTGAGGCCACGGGCAAGGGGTCACCCCTTAGACATTTAGTCATTTGCTAGGGTTTTTATGGCATGATGACGATGATGAAGAAGAAAGAAAATGTACTTAATGCAATATTATTTATCTGCACTACCTAGCTATATATAATCAATCTCTATCCAATTGAATAATATAAATTAAATATAAGTTGGTTGTTTAAGGTTAATGATGGAGTTGATGTAGACATTGTTAAAGTGGAGAAATATGGGAGAAAACGGCTTGGCCTTCTGTATTCTATTAATCACAAATATATACCAATATACAATAGAATACCTAACTTGCCTAAAACTCCTAAACAAGATAAACTTTCCAAATATACAATATTAACATATATGAAAAACCAAACTCTAATACTCCCCCTCAAGTTGGAGCATGTAAATCACGAATGCCCAACTTGCGTAAGAGAAAACCAAATTGTTGCCGTCCAAGAGCCTTGGTGAGAATATCTGCCAACTGATTACCTGTCGAAACATATGAGGTAGAAATATTACCGTTGATCAACTCATCACGAACAAAATGACAGTCTACCTCTATATGTTTCGTACGTTCATGAAACACTGGATTCTTAGCGATATGCAAAGCCGACTGATTATCACAAAACAACTGCATAGGCTTTGAATGCTTAATACCAAGAACAAACAACAACATTTTCAACCATTTCAACTCACGAGAAGTAAAAGCCATAGACCTGTATTCAGCTT